AAGAGAACCAGTACAATTTTGTCCAGGCTCAGTGTTCTTATATTTTTTGTGCCGATTTCAGGCTCAAAGTATTCATATTTTGTTCTTATTTTAACATACTTTTTAAACATACATTATTATTCTACAGCAGTGTATTCTGTACTGTATTATAGTACTGTACTGTCAGTGTACACAAACTGCAAATAAGGTACTGGTAAGGCATTTTATCTTAGCCTTAATTTATTCTTATTTTGTTCTTAATTTTCCCGCAATTTCGACAGCCTCATTCTTCTTATAAAATGTGCTCTTATAAAAAAATGTAAGTGATGTTGCTATTAAAACGTACAACGTTACTCGAATCATGATGATCCTTTTATACAGTATACCCCGTCACGGGTTCAATGGATAGATAGCGTATACATACAGTATAATTATGCTTATAAACTGTACCTCTGTATATGTTTTCTGTCGATGCCAAGAATAAAAATGTTTACAGTCGCTTTTAATCCACTCTTTATATCAAACTTTGCTATTATTCATTTAAAAGCAGAATTGATTTTGAATTTTTATTCGTAATGGTTACGAATTTATACAGTAGTATTTTTCATTTGAGAAACAATTTGCTTGTTGCTCCATGTCCTCCACTGGTAATTTTTTGATAGGCCCTATCGCTGTGTTCACAGACATATAGAGATTAACATGATAAAATGCCTTCAAATTAGTCTACTAGGACGTAAGAAAGCAAATTTTTCTGGGGTCTTCGGCCCCTGGACCCCGACCGGGGGCCCTCGCCGGCCCCCTGGCCCCAGCCTGGTTGCTCGCTGCGCTCGCAAAACGCACCCCTCCCCCCCATTCAAAAAGCTGAATACGGGCCTGGGTGGGGGTGCGTATGCTTAACTAATAGTAGACAAAAAAGAACGAACCGGCAACCCTTGCTTAGTTCTCTTGTAAGTACGTCAGATATCATTGAAATGTTAATAGATAATGATAATGTAACTTATCGAACCAATGATGGTAATTAAAATTTAAAATGATGCTTTTGTAAATAATAAAGAACTCTCTAACAAAAGTATACTGTATATAGGTGTGTAGTTACTGTAGTACTATAAGAATTGTTGGGTATTTTGTTTCATCACCAGGAATACTGTACTTTATTAATTGTAGCGAATAATGAAGGTGAAGTCACAAAACCAATGTCAAAGAACAAAACCCAAACACAATGTTTGCCAGACAAGCAGCTGTTTTCATTATTCTAACCTTTCAATGATTAGCTTCTTATATGAGATACTTTAAATAAATTACCAATGAAGTACAGACGTGACAGTGGTTGATACGTCTATCAAAAAAAAAAAAACGGTAACGGAAATGTGAGGATTATGGAAAGGTGACAGTCGGAATTAAAGTGGTTATACAGATGGTATGGTAGAACAAAGAACTGTAATGTTTAAAGAGTTGTAAGTTGATAAAAGGTCATGGCTTTTGAATGATGTAAATAAGCATGGAGGTGTTATAAGCCAAAGGGTTACATACCCTTGTTTATGCAGCTAATCATTATGCTCATCAACAACATTCATGCCCAATGGCGGATTCAGAAACAGGAGACGAACCTGTCGAGAGAGGAAGGTTTGGGGAGGTTTCTTACCTATTTTGTAGGGGGTTCCAGAGTGATATGTCCACAGAGAGTTTTATTTTTAATCCGATTACACATTTGGTAATGATTTTTGGTTGCTGCCAGTGACGGTGGCGGGGGCGAGCCCAATTTGCCACTGAAGGAGGAATACCACCTGTAAGATCACACCATCCTGATTCCTCGGCGTCTTTTTTCCCATGCATTTATGCAAAATTATCGAACTCTCGGCCTATACTTTAAAAATAGCCCACATATTTTTTGTTGCAATTCACTTGAATAAATGTCAAGTAATGTAACAGGTTGTTGACTACATCCTCATGGGGCACAAAAAATGCATTACATTTGACGAAACGACAAGACGGAACATCCTAAACTTAAACTATTGAGGGCTTAAATCACTAGGGAAAAAATAAAAATAAAATTTTGTTTTCTTATTTTAGCAAATAATTTTGCCAAAAACATCCAGACGGAGGAGAAAATATTAAATAATATTTAAAAAATTAGCAATTAAATGTATTACTTGCAGATTTTATCTCAAACAATAGGCCTAGTAACAGACCCGTAGGCAGGGGGATGCAGAGGGTGCGGACGCACCCCCCCCCCCATTCCAAAATATCGACATTTTAAAACCTATGATTTCACAAAATCTTTCCTAATTATCACAAAAGGCTATAGCATGCATTGCATTATATATTTGCCATCTTATCTAACCGTTGATTTTTAATAATGTGGTATGAAATTAGTTAGAAATTGATTGCCTCCGGTGATTGCAGATTGATCTATATAATATGAAGAATGTTATCTATAGGCCTGCAGATGTACAGAACATAATAACGTTACTTTTTCAGGTCCCAAAAACACCCAAATTAATGAAAATTTAAATGAAATATTAATATAAAATTAATATTCATCTATTATGTAAGACCCTCAAAATGCTACTTTGTCTCTTTTCTCACAAACCCTCTCCAGGGCTCTGCCCCTGGACCACCAAATTTCAAAAAGTCCACTTTTTAAAACCTACTATTTCTCTAAAATCGTTCCTAATTATCGCCAAATGCTATAGTAGGCCTATGCATTACATTTTTTGCCCGCTCTTCTACCGTTGATTTTTAATAATGTGCTACGAAATCTGTTGGAAATTATCAACTCAAGTGATTGTAGGCCTACAGATGTAAAGGACATGAAAAAATATAATTTCACAGTGGTGGATTCAAGTGGGAGAGCCCCCTAAAATTATAAAAGAAATGGAGAAAAAAAAATCATAATTAAAGTTTGTCTGAGAGTGCCATTTCCGGCCACTTTGAAGTGCCATAATCATAAATTGTCTAACCTCAGCCCCAACCATGGAAGGTCCACTTCGGTTGCAAAACGCACCTCCCCATCGAAAATCCTGCCTACGGGCCTGTAACTCAAGCACAACATGTTATTAATTAATTTTAACAATATGTTTGTAGGAGAGTACAGTGTGGTCAATGAGGAACCCCCGGAATCTATGACAATTTAGGGATTTGAAATTCGATTATTTAATCGACCGAAGTTAGAATCTAATAACAGCCTTAAAAATATATAGCATTTTCACCTCAAATTTGTGTTTTCCCCCGATGTGGGAAGATGTCTCACTGGAGTGATTCTTTAACATTAGTTCCTATCTTAAATAATATTTTTTTTAATGATTCTGGCATACACGCACTATTAATATATTGAGATAAAAGAAATTTGAAAAATTCAGAAGTACATTATTAGTAGCAAATAGGCCTACTTTTTTTAGTACTAAACAAATTTCAATTCTTGACATAAAAGGTAAATAAAAACGCGAAAAACAAAATGGGTCAATTTTAATAATTATTTTTGTAAAATCTGATCCGTAAACAACTTAAACGAAGTTTGCTACCGGTCTCGTTGACAAATTTGACCTAAATTTCTTACACGAATTGCCAGGAGGTTTACTAGTCAGCTTTGATAATCGATAGGGTTGGGCGATTGCGTGTAATTGTTAACCTTGTAATAAAGTATGTTTTGCTCTCAGGGGAATTTAGTTTGCTCTCTACACTTGCAACGATAACGATAAAAAGCTAAAAAGCAATTTTCCATATTGAAAATAAAAGAAATAAGAGTTTTTACATGAGGACGATTTGATAACGACTTATCGTGTATACAATAAAAAATAATTTCACAAACCAATTGAAATGACGTCATAATCATTGAAAAACGAAAAAAATCGTAGTAGTAACAATAATTTTATCGTTTTTCCATGATTATGACGTCACTTCAAATGAGTTGTCAAAATATTTTGTGTACATGATAAATCGTTATCGAATCGTCCAAATGTAAAAACTCCGGTTATTTCTTTTATTTTCTATATGAACAATTGATTTTTAGGTTTTTATCGTTATCGTTACAAGTACTGTATAAACAGGCATTTAAAATCACCCCGGGCGACGGTCCTAATTCGGCGTACGCAATTCCACGCACGTGTGTGGTACGTCTCATATTGTTAGACCTTCGTCGCCGACGCGATTCCATGGATAACGTAACGCGACGAGGCGCACGTAACGGTTTTCCAGGCCCGTAGCGTGGGGGTTACGACGAACCGTCCAAAAACTGAAGAAGGTCCGCATTTAAAAACTTAAAAACGAAAAATTGATATTCGTAGATAATGTTCTCCGGAGTAACGGAGATCATACAAGCTGGAAGTATTTCAAGTCGGCATTTCTTAACCTTTCTCAGCTAACAATATTACGTTATTGTATAATGGTTTCCAAAGGGTCCACTTCCCACTGAAACGAACCTCCCACCAAGTCACGCTACGGGCCTCCACAAGGCATCGTGTGCCCGGTTAGTTAACATAAATTTAATTCCATTCGGGATAGACTCCATGGATTGTCACGCGGGAAAGACCCGGTGAAAGAACTGTCTTTGGTTAGAGATGACTTTGAAGGGAAAAAAAAAATCTCCGTGGTGGTTTACAGATAGCCCTGACGTTAAAGTCAGGCTCAGGAGAAAAAAAAAATTTTTGATATGTTGTAGAACTGATTTTTCTAAGACAGAAAAAAGTTGTTTGACGAAAAACTGGGGAACGGTGAATGAGATACAGATTTTTTTAATATTTAAAAACTGGGAGAATAAGGTGTAAAAATGGGCAGTTATGCCCCTTTTCCCCCAGTTTTTAAATATTAAAAAATCTGTATCTCATTCACCGTTCCCCAGTTTTTCGTCAAACAACTTTTTTCTGTCTTAGAAAAATCAGTTCTACAACATATCAAAAAATTGTTTTCCTCCGGAGCCTGACTTTAAAACTTACATTCTCTTCATAATCTTATAATTTCCGTACTCTTTCTCTGAGCCAGTTTTATATTTATGGTTTTTACTGATTGACAATGCTTTGTTACAGCACGTCGGCCAAGTCATGCGAGAAGGTAATTAACTTCAAGAAGCAACCAAGTGAAGGCAGACTCGTTCAGGAATTCTCCGGCGATGAGACTGATTGTGTTTTCAGGTTTATAGCGCCATCACACAAACATGTTGTTATTGGTATACTTGAACTGGACATTTTCTCGCCAGATGCCACAGAGCGCGACCAATGCAAATTACGGTTGAATGTCAGAGACACACCATCCAACGGAAAAAGACATCTCTTGCGTGGCTATTGCGACAACGATCACATTAGGTTACCGCACTTTTTTCGGTCTTCCGAATCAAGAATGCAACTTGTGTACAAAGGTGAAGCAAGCCGCACTGACGGTCGTCTTGAGGTTCAATATGCATTTGTAGATCATCCTCATGAATATATTAAGAGCTTGGAAAAATTATACACAACCCCATCAACTATAATTGGTAAGTTATTTACATGTTCAGAATAGAAACACATTTTTATTAAATAATATAAATAATACATAGGGATGGTTGAGTACACGAACGTTTTCGGGCATCACCCTTCATCAGGTATACCAGAGAACAGTGAAATTACACTGTTCCCTGGGTATACGTACAGATATCATAAATAAATACGAGTATATATAAATATAATGCGGACGTAAGATGAGTGATATTAGAAACATAGGATCGTAATAAAACAAAGGTAGGGTAGCGTGGATATGAAAGCTTAAACAACCTTAAGGGCGTAGTTAATAATAATAAACTAGCCAATCAGATTGAGTGGTATTGTAAGATATAGAACTACTGTATAAGATTTAAAAAAATAATAAACCAAGATAATAACAAGATTATAACAACCAAGATCAGGCAAAAATGTAATAATAATAATAATAATAATAATAATAATAATAATAATAATAATAATATCAAAATTAATAATAATAATAATAATAAGATTAATAAGAATGATAATGAAGATTTATAAAGCGCCAATGGTGCTCAAGGCGCAGTGTCAATTACACCACAAAATAAACAAAATCCATATAAATTCCCAGAAGAATTTCACGCAGAATCCGTATACCAATTATCCCATCGAGGCAGTGTTGCTCCCCATATAAGTATGCGCAGATACTCAAAGGCAGTATGTTGAGCATCAGCACCTTCCACCCCAGGATAAGCCCAGGGCTCCACTACCGTGCACTGCAAAAAAAGCAACATTGCGTCGACGGGGAAAGTGGTATCAGGTTTTTTTTTTCTTTGTAAAGAATATAAATTTAACAGAGGAACATCAATGTTCTCTATACGCCTCGGTGAAGAGATGCAATTTCAAGGATTTAGATTTAGAGATCTAATATGTTTGACGGAGCATACCTCCATGGACGGAGCAAGGCAAAGCGTTCCAAAGACGTGGAGCAGCAATACTAAAAGCTCTATCCCCGTAAGAGTGATATGACTTAGGTTGATGTTGTTAAATATGTCATATAAATAACTACATAATAATATAGTATAATATATAATAAATTAAACCGTATATATAGGCCTAATGGGTGAAATATGCCTATGAGAGAAGGTTAAATTTTATTCATATATATTATTGTGACTTTCAAATCATTTGAATTATAATTTTGATATTGTTTATCTGGTTTCTAATTAAGATTCATACTTTTAAGACTATATGTTTTTATTTATGCTATGCTTGTTTACTCTTAAGACTGTGTTTTTATTATTACTTTTTATAGTGAACACACTTATTCCGTTGTTCTGTCCGTTTTCTCTCATAGGCTTAGGAATATTTCTCCAGCATCTTGATTATATTGATTATTTCACCCATTATATATACGGTTTATTATATTACATAGTATATTATTATGTATTTATTTATATGACATATTTTGCCTGATTTCGGTTGTTATAATCTTGTTATTACCCGACAAACCCCGCACTTTATTCATGCATTACACAAATAGTTTCATCTTGCTGTATTCCAACATCACTGGCGCATGGTAACAACCAATTAACTGCAGACCATTTCCGGGCACACATTACTCTCCATAACGCAGCACCCCCTAGTTCCGTCACCTCTGGGTTTATTATTTTTTTTTATCTTATACAGTTAGTTCTATATCTTACAGTACCACTCACTCTGATTGGCTAGTTTATTATCGACTACGCCCTTAAGGTATTACTTAAGCTTTCATATCCACGCTACCCTATCTTTGTTTTTTTACGATCATATGTTTCTAATATCACTCATCTTACGCCCGCATTATATTTATATATACTCCTTTTTATTTATATCTGGCAATACCAGAC